ATATATTTTAATTTAATTTTATTTTTTTATCATATATATTTAACATATAAAGTTAGTTTAATAGAAAAACAGTTTCACACTGCTTCTTCCTGAAAGATATAAAATTTAACAATAATGGCATATATTTTTTGAAAATAGCATTGCAAAAATTGGATGCAAGTTATAATCAGTTGGAAATGTTGCCACCTCTGGGTGAATTGAGGAAGATAGAAACAGTGATGTTACATACAAACAAATTAACAACATTTCCTGACATGTCTGGTTGTACACTATTAAGAGTACTGCACTTGGCTGATAATAACATTGCTGTACGTACTATTACAAGCTAATCTTAGCATAAATAGTGATCATTTATGAAGAAATTAAGTAGATTATTATTTCTGTTAAGTAAAGAGAGGAGATTGTTTTTATATTTAATATTTTTATAAAAGGTGTACTTTGTGGCCTCTGGCAAAAAATATTATTGCAGTGATTGATAATAATAGTAATATTATATGTAATAAAGTTATGTATAATAAATTTTTAATATTTATTTTGCATAATTTATAGGAAATTGATATGTCTTGTTTAGAAGGTGTAGGACAATTAAAAACATTGACTTTAGGAAATAATCAAATTGAAACAATACCAGAGGAAGTAATAAAACTGGTTTATCTAGAAATTTTTGATTTATCACACAACAAAATAACTGTGTATGTTACTTTGAATGCATTATTATTCTATTTCAGAGAAGCATTTTCGAAATAATATTCTTTATTTTACAGAATACCAAGTTATGTAGGCATAATGCCTAATTTAAAACAATTTATAATTGATGGAAATAATGTACAAAATGTAAGAGCCGATATAATACGATGTGGTACATCTCGAATTTTAAAACATGTACGTCAAGATATTAAAAGTACAAATTTAAATATACAAGAACATGTAATATCAGATGCCAGTACAAATATTTATCCAGATAAGTACGTGATGTACTTAATTCAATGCTGACTGTGTGCTGCTTGTGTGTATGACAACAATAAATTAATTTTAATATAATACCTTAGATACACAATGCAAAGTACAAAGTTGCTCAGCTTAGCTGGACAAAATCTTACTGAATTACCACAAGAAGTATTGGAAAATGCGTGTAAAGCTGATGTAGGTACAGTGGATTTAAGTAGAAATAAATTCTCTGTCTTACCGGATGAGCTACGTGTAATTGCAAGAGTTGCTGATTTAAAATTGATATCTAATCAACTAACGTATCTACCAGAATGGATTGGTGAAAAATTTCAATATTTACAAGTTTTGGATTTGAGTAAAAATTTGTTAGAAACGCTGCCTGCAAATCTCGGTTCGCTTAAATATTTACAAGAACTTAATATTTCATTCAACAGGTATTACATTACACATATATTTAAATTACGTTACTACAATTTTTATTTTTATAATATGCATCCATATACATATAAATGAAGCAGTATTAAAACTTATTGATATTTTGCACACAGGTATAAAGAAATACCGGAATCTGTTTCTGATGTCAATTCTCTAGAAATATTAATAGCAAATGACAATTCAATCACTGATATCAATGTGCCATCTTTACAAAAATTACAAAAACTCGCAACATTGAATCTTGCTAATAACAATATTGGACTTGTACCACCAGAACTTGGCAATTTAAAAAGCATAAAGTGAGTTAAAATAAGTGAATTATAATTATTCGGTATGTTACAATGATAAACATTTTCAGGAATCTATATTTGTCTGGAAATTGCTTCAAACAACCAAGACAAGCAATTTTAGCAAAATCTACAGAAGAAGTGCTTGCATATCTTAGGAACAGAATACCTCACTGAAATGTACAAGTTGTTGAAATATATTGAGATGTTTTTATATAGCTAGAAAAATATGCAGGGGTTCAGGAGACAAATCAATATGTGTCAACAGAAGTATATGCCAATTATGTGATGTTACTGTAATTGCACATTTCTAAATAAATTATTTCAAATAAATTAACTGGTTCTATATGGCACTTATTTCCCTTTCTCGTACAATTATTGTCACAGACGAGGTGGAGGATAAACTTAACATCTTATGAGATTTTGTGTCCACGGCACGGGGGCCGAGAACACCCTTACCATTTTCGTATTTTACTATCTACTTATTATTATTATCTACTCTTATTAATGATGTTAAAGCAATTAAAAATTTATTATAAGTATGGATTAAATATAATAAAAATGACGGAGATTGCGAAGAAAAACAAGGAAAAGAATAGCGGTAGATAAGGATAGCACTAGAGATATGAGTTCGACAAGGAAAGAAATAGTGGTAAACAAAGATAGCAATAATGGTGTGTGTTAGATAAGGACAGAAAATTTTAAAGGCGAAACTACGCCATTTTGTGTTTGGTGATCGGAACTACAACTTTTTAATAGGAACACAGAATATCAACAGAGGTATTAGACAAAGAAAGCACTAGTGTGCGAGAAGGACAGAGAGAGAACGTTTCCTATTGGTCCGCCAGCCGCCATTTTCAACCTCCCACGGGTGAAATGAAGGCGGCCAGGGAAAAATCAATAATAACTGAATAATTAAGATGATTTTGTGAACTTTTAGAATTGAAGAATGTAGAGTGGACCTTTAGCAACTTTCCCATATAGATTTTAATGCAATAGACCCTTTCAATAATTGGTTATTAATAATTTTAGTACGTGATGTCGGGAACGATACCGCATACCGTCAAGCATCTTTACGGTTTTTCAATAATTTCATAGCTTTCTACTAAATTCCCATACAGCTAACTATATGTACCCGAAAGGCAACACCTTTAGCTAAATTCTTCTACAATTTTTATGAACATATTCGGCTTAGTTCAAGAGTAATTAAACATTAAAGGAGAGAGTCCCTATTCATCTTACCCGAGTATAGTCGAATGTTACAAACAATTGTAAATATCTAATAAACCACATCACTTACGACTACAAAAATTATTGGAGAATATAAATAAAAGTCTATTCTACATTCTTCAAGCTCAAGAGTGCATAAATAATCATGCATTTCTAGTGAAATAACGAAAATGTGTTACGATTGAAAGCGACGGCTGTAATACTCTCCCAAAGAATGTTCAATAACTCTTAAACTAAACCGAATATTTTAATAAAAATTATACGAGAATATAGCCAAAAGAGTTACCTTTCAGACTCGTGTAGTTAGTTGGAAGGGAATTTAGCAGAAAGCTATGAAATTAATGAAAAACCGTAAAGATACTTGACGGTATGCGATATCGTTCCCGACATCATGTACTAAAATTGTTAATTACTAATTACTGAAAGGGTCTAGTGCATTAAAATCTATATAAGAAAGTTGCTAAAGGTCCACTCTACATTCTTCAATTCTAAAAGTTCACAAAATCATCTTAATTATTCAATTATTAATGATTTCTTCCTGGCCTATGGGGAAGCCTATATTCATCGTACTCGAGATGTTATAAACAATTGCTAATATCTACTAAACCACATCACTTACGGTTATAAAAATTATTGCAGAATATAAATAAAAGTTCATTCTACATTCTCCATGCCTAAAAGTGCATAATTAATCACGCATTTCTATTGAAATAACGAAAATGTATTACGATTGAAAGCGACGGGTGTAATACTCTCCTAAAGAATGTTTAATAACTTTTAAATTAAACAGAATATTTTAATAAAAATTATACGAGAATCTAGCTAAAGGAGTTACCTTTCAAACGCATATAGTTAGTTGCATGGGAATTTAGTAGAAAGCTATGAAATTATTGAAAAACCGTAAGCGTATATAAACGTAACCGGCATCATTCCCGACATTCTGTACTAAAATTATTAATAAATAAATATTGAAAGGGTCTATTGCATTAAAAACTATACGTGAAAGTAGCTAAAGGTCCACACTACATTCTTTAATCCTAAAAGTTCACAAAATCTTCCTAATTAATGAGTTATTAATGATTTTTCCCTGACCGACTTGATACAGCGTGTGGGAGATGGAGCATGGCGGCCAACGGACCAATAGGAAACGTTCTATCTCTGTCCTTCTCGCACACTAGTGCTTTCCTTGTCTAATACCTCTGTTCACATTCTGTGTTCCGCGTAACGAGTCGTCAGTTCGTGGATCCAAACACGAGATGGCGTTACTCTGGATCTGCAAAATTTTCTATCCTTGTTTAACCCTATATCTTTCCTTGTCTAACTCATTACTCTGATGCTATCCTTGTTTAGCCCTACTTCTTTCCTTATCTTACTCATTTTTCTAGCGCTATCCTTATCTATCGCTATTCTTTTCCTTGTCTATCTTCGCTAATGCTATTCTCGTCATACTTATTATATTTAATCGATACTTATAATAAATTTTTAGTCGCGTTAACATTACTAATAATGCAGATAGTAAAATACGGTTTAAGGCATATTTAGAAGTACTTTAATTGCAGAATAACGTTGGGTGCGACACGAAAATAGTAAGGATCTTCTCGGCTCCCGTGCTGTGGGCACAAAGTCCCATAAGATATTAAGTGTACCTTGTACCTCGTCTTTGACAAAACCTCTGATTTTTCACACGATCAGTATCTCAGAACGTTGTACGCAAAAATACATTAGGTGTTAGATCTATCCTGTATATACCTCGTCTGTGCTGTTGTGAACACTTTGTTTTTGGAAAATCTACTTTTCAGCGGATGGTAACACTTTAACAATCGATAATACAGAAAGAGGTAGAGACGCGTACATATCGCACGTGGTAAAAAGAGTAATTTTACGAGTAAATCCATGTTTCCGGGTTTCACAAAAGAAAAATTTAACGTGTACGAAGCGTGAAAAGGAAAAATATAGTTGTCACCCATTTAACGTTTCAGTTCTTTCAAACAACCTGTCTGATCCCTTGCAGTTCTCACACTTTTATCGCGTGAGCTGTGTTGATAAATGCCAAGGTTTGCGGTTCTTTCCGAACACGAGCTCTTCGACTTCGGTTTCGGCTTACACTTTCCGCTCGACACTCGTCGTACAGCCTCCTCGATGAACCTTTGATCTTTCTCGTTTATATCAACTCCTAAGCTGTTCCTTTGACATCCCTCTTGCCCTCTGCAATTGCAAACAAAATTATTCGACAACACCTGAAAATATCACGCGTACCAACTCACGATATTTCAGACAATTCTTCAATTTACCAATTACCAAGTATCTTTCCACTCTACAATCCAAACTATACACGTCACATTAGACGAAAGTGTCTCATAAAGACTGCTAGATAAACTGCTACAAACTTATACCTTATTGCGTTTCTAATTAGTTTACGAAGTTTCATACACTCGTTAAAACTAAATTAAACTCGAGTAATATACCTAGCTATACGACACGGAAGCAACGGTTTCTATATCTACCAAATACACCAACTTCTCGATCTGTACCAACTCGAAGCTTCGACGACTTTAAAGTCCGTTTAAGAAGTGAAATTCACAGGTGAAAAGTGGCGAAAAAAGGGAGAGAGGTTGGAGTGAGAGAAAGGCTGGAAGGAATATCGAAATGAAATTTCCGGTGCATTTAACAAGAGACACCAGCCGCCTTCGTTACAGGAAATTTGAAGCGGCATTCTCGACGGTGCATTACGGCGAGCGTTTCGCTAATGAAACGACTAAAATGCGGAGAGTGTAGCATGGTTTAAGTTATAGGGGCTGTGACGCGCGACTCCCTCGGTAAAAAAGTCAGACATCTTTCTCGCTGCTTTTTCTTCACCTTTGGCCCATTGTATCTGTCCACCCACCCGACATTTCTGTACGAACGCGCCTGTTGATTTATATTTCACTTTTTCCTGCCTGATTATTCTTTCTTTCTTTCCGGGCGTTTCGTTATCTTTGTAACGAAGGATCTTGGAACGACGGTGATAATTTTTATCGTACGAAATTTTTCGTAGGTGAAATATGACAATTTTTGGGCTGTATGAGATTTCTTATTCTTCTTTTTAGAAAGGAGGATACTTTGTGTGCACCGTGTCGTATTTTATATAGTTTCTTTAATAATTAGTTTAAGTAAAATTGTGGAAAAATTAATTATCGTTATAATGTTTTTAAGTATATACTTTAGGGAGTGAGATAGAGGAAATCTGTGGTACCCAGGAAGCTGCAGTGGTGAAGAAAGGTGTCACTTGTGAAAAAAGAAAAATATAACAAACTAAGAAAAATTACAGTAAGCTGCAGCCTTTCTAAAATATATACATTTGGAAAGAATTACAATGATGTCTAATAAATTTAACGTCAAAGCACAAATTATTAGTGAAAAACACAGCAAAAATATTTTACTCGGAATTAATTTAATTTTAATTTTCTTCCCACCCAAGATGCTTATTTATCGTTAATCTATTATTCAGTCAACGTTAAAAATTTTCAGATGGTCACAAAATGTCCCACCCTTGGTAATTCGCATTTAAAAAAATACCTCGACAATTATACCTTTGTTGAGTGCCTCCCAACTTCACGATCAGCTTGTTCATGTACAGATTGTCCTTCTGAAGCGACTTCACCTCCGATTCCTTCTCCTGAAAGGAGACCAACGTCGCGCATAAAAATATCGACTCGATTTTTAATCAATCATCGTGAAAAGAAAGATTACAGATAAAGCATTGGTCACAGTCTTCAGTTCTTCGTAGCGTGTCTCAGAGAGATGTCGTGCTGTGACGGTTTCCGTTGTCAGCCGAGTCAATTGTTGCCTATAATTCTGTTCACGTTCCATCGCCTTGTCCCAAGCTTCCTCTCGAGCGATTATGGTGTCTCGAAGGGCTTGCATATCCTTCTCCAGCACCTTCAATTCCGATCTAGCCGGGTTAAATCACTTTAACGATACACTTTTCCAAGGAAAATCGCTATTTTCTCGGTCGAGTTACGCCTTAATGA